GAAAAAAATATAAATACCTTATGGATTAAACCTGTCAAAAATTCTGAGAGTCGGACAGTGAGTGGAATATATTATATATTTTTTTTTTTACATTATATAATATATTTATTCAGAAGACTGAAAATTCACTCACATTTTCAGACATTGTCCTCTTAAATAATCGTAGACATTTCTCATCCTGTACATCGACAAAGGTAACACTGTCAGATTTCAATGCATCCTCTGTTGGCCAAGCTTAAGACAAATGTTACGTAAATATTCAATTAAATTTAAAAAATCCTTGCAGCCTGAAAACAATGAAAGCTTTTATATAATATAAACCGGTTTCAATCACGAAAGAGCTAACACATTAACAGTCATTTTGCAATATATCAATACAAATAGTAAATGAAGACTAAAATTAAATTTTAAAAAAAAATCGAATTTTGTTAGTGAACTTAACGTAAAGATAACGCATTTTTAATTTAATTTTTTTCTTTTTTTGCTACTGTTTGATATTTGCATGTTATATTTAAGAAAAAAACTATGCTTATAGAATAAAATAAGATTTGACAACTAAGTTCTTATTTTTTATGGGTAAATTACTTTTAAAGTATTTAAATATGCTTTCTTACTATCTGGAAGTTGGATATTTTCTTCATCTTCCTCCGACATAGCACTATCATCTGCCTTACCAGCCATATTTTGTATAAATCTGTTTAACTTGATAAAGATTAAATAAAGCGTTTACACATTTGTACAAGCCTAATCAGTACCTAAACAATTGTAGAAAAAAAAATATTTTATTTTATAAAACGATGTTTGAAAGATATCCAAAATTGTTTTTTAAAATTAATTTTAACTTAGACGAAAATAGCATTAAATTCCACATGTTGGTAGACTCCATCAGGCTAGCCAGTCAAATTCTCGTGGAAAGGATCCATTTGATTGTATTACTCACCATCCCCGAACCTTTTAAGCCTGTATGTTTGCTTTAAATTATTAATTTTTTTTATCCTAGCTCGAGTAGCGCATTCAGCCGTGAAAACGATTCGTCCCTTTAAGCACTTTCAGCTCCATTATGATTTTTACATCACGGTGGTCAATCCTTATTCAAATAATTCATTTTTCCCCGGTTACCTTGTGGAATATTATTGTCCTTCAGCGAATGTGGTAGGCACCGCTTCTAGGCACCTGGATTTGAGATAACTCCCTAAGGCCTGATACCGACCAAACTGCCTACATCCCGTCCAACTCACCAAACTGTCAGACTACTAAGATTAATCACAGCGGTGTATCAAACTGTCGCGTAGCTAGGGTTGGTGTGGGCAGGTGCGGTAAACTTATAGTGTCAAACCCCTCCCCCCGAATTCCACGATGGATGTCTTCTTCAAATAAGCCCTCATCATAGAAAAAAAAAACAATATATTAATTGAAGGTCAGGAGGTAAATGTATTTAAGAACTGTAACAACGTTAAGTTATAGTTATTTTTAAATTACATTAATTTATTTTTTTAAATTCCAAGCGTGAAAAACTGTCAATTACTTGATTAAAATCGATATCCTTTTTTATCACATTTATTGATAGAAGATCAAGATTACAAATCATTGACTGTCCCTTGGTGGATCGAAAATAGTTCTTATAAATCTTTGTTTTGAAAAGCTCCGCTCACATGAAGTCCCAGACACACAGATCGTCAGAAACAATCGCAGGCTTAGCAAGTATAAAGGGAGTATTGGAAGATATTCTAGGAAGTCCCATTCAGCTATGAATTTCAAAACATCAAATACCGACCAGTCCATGACTTTCTCAAATTCAGTATCAGCTGCCTTTAGGACTGTAGGTGTCTTTTAAGTCTTGGTATTTCTTTTAAAAGATTATCTGTTGATAACTTATCATAAAAAAGGATTAATTTTGAACATTTATCAGTAGCTCTTCTTCACTTGTTGATAGTAGACTCTTGGGTTGAACAACCATAAACATATCTGCAATACCCTTTATCGCTGATGATCTATTCTGGAGTTCAGAATGAAAACGATTAATACATTTCAGCATCTCCTTACTATTACTTCAGTCAGGGAGATTTCAGCCTCTATTGATTGTTCTCCTTGAATTCTCTTTTTAAACAGTGATCTTCTCTCTACAAGATTATTGCACATTGGTCTGATTTTAAAATTGCCTTTTCGATAGCTTGTTCCAATAAGCGACAGCTCTTCTTGTGCAAAAACAATCTTAAGGCCTTAAGGTTCGTCACCACTTTGTCAATAGTAAAACCTTAAGTCTGTAGATACTGGTGTGGAAGATTGACTTCCTCAAGTAGATCAGCCCAAAGGTTAAAGTAGGAGATAAACAAGAAACCACAGACATGATGTAAAGGACCTTGTGCTGTATCACTTGTATCAAGAGGGTCACATATAGCATTAATCGCCACCACACATTCATCACTTATCTTTTACTGTTTTAACAGCAGCATGATAAGCCCTCTGTCTTGTGTGCAGTCTTTTCACTGACATTCTAATGTGTTCAATTAAAATCCCATCAATGAGTGGATGAAACAAAGAAGGAAATATTCACGCAAAAGTTAACATATGAAGCATTTTCTGTAAAAGTGTATAAAAGTGTAAAAGCTACCGAAGACTTCAATCAGAATTGAATCATGGTAAAAACTTAATTTACCTGACCTAATTATAGGGTCACTTCACTTCTATTGCTTCAAACTTGAACTTTTAATGGATCACGCATTTGTAATTAGTTTCATGTGTGGAAAATTTACGTGTGATCGGGTTCCTTGTTATGAACATTTGGTTAGATCGAGCAATGTGTACTCTGTAAATACGCAATTTTTCTATTTGGTGTTAACCTCTGAGATGGTGTCAACTAGTGCGGTCCACAACCCTGCACCCTTAGCAACGCCAATGGTATCAAATAATATATTTCCTGGAACCTTTTTTTTTAGAAGACGGTGAAAATCCCCCTCCGGAACTCTTTTGGACCCAAGAACAATGTTAAGGATCTATGTGTGTGGCCAAACAGGCCCCAGCACAGGCCTCAGCACAGGCCTCAGCACAGGTGACTCTCAACACAAATGAAACTGAAAACAACACTCTGTTGGAGTATCATCCTCTTTAATCATTATACTGTCAGGATCTTAAGCTTACAAATGTGTTAAAATTTTGACAGCACACACAGGACCACACTTTCTAGCATACCCCTTGTGCCATAGAGGTGTCTTCTTAAAGTGGACTGCTCAGTCCAGGCAAAACTGTTGCTTTTTTTTTATTAGTGATGAACAGTCTTATGGCTTCGGTCGCATATGTACACGTTTGCCACTATGGCTTCCTGTGTACCCACAATGCCTCAACAGCTGTATTGCCACTTGCCCATCGCCATAATAATTTGTTGATGATGAACACTGAGATGGAATTGATGTTGAAAAACATTGTCATCCCTGTGACTTGGATTTAAGTGTGCAAGAATTGCACGAGTTGTCAAACTAACGCTCTCACTCAACGCCACCTGGATACAGAAGCAAAGTCGAAACAGATGAATGAAAGTGGGAGCACCGGATGACCATGACAATCTACGTGTCTTACCATGACCTTCGAGATCCACATTGGGCTGCTGTCTCACCTTTTCTGCCCATTAACTCACCAATGAATTGTCCCTCTGTGAAATCGGCTAAAGTCAGTTTTTACATTCGAAAAGAATTTAAGGTATTTCGTCTACCCTTAACCTTGTTTTGCCTTCTATTTGAAGCCGTTTTCTTGGGTGTGGCCGCTGCACATGATAGTTTCTTGGACCAACAGTTAAGCGTAAAATATATCTAAACACATGTAAACAGTCTATCTAAATTATATATATATATATGCAGTATATGTGTTGTTGATGGAAAATGTTGGTAGTCGAATGACCATAAATCAGACTCGCCCAAGACCATCGGAATACACATTTATTTTTGAGGTAGCAACGATCACAATTATATGGTTGGGGGTTCACCACATCATTAGGAACTGTATTAAATGTTTGCGCATTAGGAAAGTTGAGAACCGCTGATTGAAAACAACATTTTAAAAAAATTGCAAAACTTCAAATGGCACTTTTTTTAATAATAGTGCAACCTTTTTCTAGAATAGGTGTTTTATACCGAATACCACAAAGGATTACGATTTGAAATACTGAGGGTTTCAATTGATAACTTATTAGCCTCAAAAGGAAAACTAATGGGAGAAATATCGTCTAATTTTGATCAGGTACATAATAAAGTCAAGTATTTATGAAAATAAATTTATATAATAGAATACATTTAGCGATGTAATAGCATGCATACGTCATCATCTACGGTTCTTTTTTTTTTTTCAATAGTTTCTTTTATTTATCATTTTTAAATATAAAGACACTTAGTAGGTATTGATTGAAAAATCAATATATAAAATATATTCACCGGTTGAAAGGACAAAACTTATGCTCAAACATCCTCCTCCTAATCTCATCTCTTCAAATGTTTACCTCAAAAACTGTGCCATTATCCTGTGTGCATTTCTTTCAGATAATATAAATACACATATCAGTAGTGTTGTCTACTGACTCTGCCTACTTTTTACTATAATCACACTATTATATTCATTCATCATGAATACAGTATGATCACAGCTACAAGTTCAGGCCTAATGCCACTATATTAAGTCATTTGCATTTTAACCATCACTATAGCTGCAGAACTGAGGGGCCAGATCTATCCATCTTTGACAAAACAGAACGTGTTTTGTTTAAAACATGATGGAGTTACTAAGAGATAATTTTCCTGTTAGTGGCAACGTTTAGGTTGTTTTTTTCCTTCCTGCTTTCTTTAAATAGTAACAGTACGTATTGAGCTGTGACGTTTTCCGGTCTGTGAAATGACAAACCCTACTTGCGAAAGTGTCCAAATCTTCCTTAATATTAAAATATTCTAATGAATCAATGTGCCATTTAGTTCTTTAGTAAAAAAAAAATAGCCTTAATTGTGCACACACAAAATAATTGGGAAAACTATGATTCTTTATAAATTGAATTCTCACATCTCTAAAGGTAAATACTTACTTTACTCCATCATTAAATGACTGACAAACTTGTTTGGGAAAACCCATTTTGACCTGTAACGTACACCACAATCAGTTTGTTCTTAGGAATCACATCCGCTATAATACACAAAGGCAAGATAAGAAGAGGACCACCACATAAGACAACTACATTCTCTTTACCGTTGTGAATAATGTGTGATTATCTCCGTATTGCATAATTCTTTTTTTTATTTTTTTTTTCCTTATTAGGGACAGCGAGGACATGAAAAGCTCTAAAACCTTATTTCTGCCGACGCTATTCTAATCCACAGCATGTCTCCACTCACATCAAGTATGCCTTCCAGCTTTAAATCTTTTCTCTTACATATTAACAGCTCATTTTTTCGCTTCATCAGGGCATTTATTTTTAAATATAAAAAGCTGCTGTGCAGAAATGTTTTTTTCTTCTAAATTATTTGTCCCTGGTTAATTTTTCAGTACTTAGCTAGTGTCTTAAAATCAGGCTGTACAGATGTTTGCTCAGTTTGATCACTATGATCTGTATTCTGGAGGAACCCGGACAGCAGTGTATGCACTTAATACTTTATGCATCCCCACGAAGAAAAAAAAATAATGCCTTACGTGTCTTCAGAACGTCTTAGTAACAGTGCACTAGTCTTGTTTGTTTCTGTTTAATTGTAATTTGCAAGACGTTGACCTAATTTAGACTTTTTAGACGTGTAAAATGCAAAGATCATCAAGATGGTGTCAGTGGTTCGACCCAGTAATATCCCTTAAGCTTACTTAGCAGGTAACTGAAAATTTGTTAACTTTCGCACAAAAATATACAACTTCATTTTGGCACACGTCGATTCCCATAATCGTTTTGTCTTTCTGCGTTGTTGTATCAAAACATTTATCCGATAAACCAACTCTTTCTGTTGAAGTTTCGCCTTCTCAAGATCAGCTGATATTGTCTTGTAATCGCCATTCCGGTCCTCAAGAACATCGGTTGGCGTTTTTCATTATATCTTCTATTAGATCGCCATCTTGCTTTTCTTGACTGTTCGGTGAATACAAAATTAGGCTGATTTTTTTTTACAGTTTCATTATAATCAAAAGTCGGAGTAGGGACCAAACTTCAGTTTATGAAACCTTTTAGAGCCCCCACATTGTTATTTGCCTTTTGTTTCGTATCGTTTGCTCTATTATCAAACAACTCACATATTTTCTTACACTCTTCATGAAAAAATTTTTAGTCTCCGCCATGTTCGTGACACCACAAAAATAATAGTTCCGTGTTGTCCTCTTCCAGCTTGTCCTCCTCAAATTTGTCTCCCTCCGTCATCGTGGAGATGACCACTTGTTTTCAAGACCTCCTTTCCAAACGGAAATTTTAATCAGCTGGTCGGCGCCCTATTCTTGTTAGGTAATTAGCACACTGAGTTTGGGCACCAAAATGATGGCAATAAGTTCATACCACAAATTTTATAGGCCAAGTCATATGACTTGACAGCAGCTTATTTTGGGTCTTATGCGGGGCCTTACGCACTACATCCACAACTTCCGTTGAGATTTTGTCAGACGTAGAACCACTCAGCATTTGGAGACACAAAGCCATCCTCATGACATCGGAAAGATACCGTGGTATGGAGAAAACGGAAAACTTTTTTCAGCTAAAAGACCAGATCACAAGATTAAAAAGACTCTCCTTTATAGTTGCAGTATACTCACTTAAGAGTAAGCACCATGCACTAGAAAACAAGAAAAATCCGCGGCTGATCCAGGAGTGATCACCGCACGAATGCGTTTAACCTCCTGATGCACGTCTGACACTTGAAAATGCGGTCGTTACAAAGTTGAATCCTCTTGATATGCAAAAAGAGGGCACTGAGGACGATCGAAGCATACAAGGATACTTTGGTAAATGTCTACGCAGACGGTTATTGCTTCACCATTAGTACTAAAGCTGGATACTGTGTACTTACACAAGCTCCAAATGGAAGGTTTCAGGATCAAGTGGTCAGTAAGCACAATATTTGTAGAAGATATGAAAGCTACACTTATGGCCCTGCAACAAATGGGCCATAAATTAGTTAGAAGATAAATATTTCTGATCATCGTAGTGTTTAGTGACTCACACCTGGCATTAGAAGTTGTGAGAAGAGCATCAGATGAAACTCAGTTGTCTAATGCCTTTGTGGACATAATACAAAAATCAAGCCGAACGGAAAATATAAAAGTTGAATGTATTTTCACCTTGTTGTGTATGTGTAGCTCTGCCATTGGATATGAAGTAAATGTTTCATATGTTGACCTCAGCCTCTGGGTGACAAAAGATCATTTTCAAGTCTCACAATATTTCACTGTGAACTCGTGCGTTTAGCAGTGCAAGCTACCTGGGCATCTACCGGTGTGATAGAGCGACACGCATGTCAAAAGACTCATGGAATGCAAATACTATTTATGAAACGCCCATTGCCATTTAAGTCAAGCCGTTGCTGAAAACTAAATGTTCTTTAGGAACAAACTACAAGATCTTTAAGAACAAACTAATCGATCTTAAGGAAGAAAATCAATTTTCTATAAGAACAAATTAAGCGATCCGATATTTATGAAAAAACTAAGCTATCTTCAACAACAAAATAAGCGATCTTTAAGAACAAACTAAACGATTTTTAATAACAAACTAAATGATCTATAAAAACAAACTAAATGATCTTTAAAACAACTAATCGATATTTAAGAACAAAATCAAACATCTTTAAGAACAAACTACGCGTTTTTATGAACAAACTTAACGATCTTTTAATAACACAAACTAAATGATCTTTAAGAAAAAACTTAGCGATCTTTTTTTAACAAACTAAAAGATTTTTAAACAAAAACTAAGCAATCTTTAAGAACAAACTAAGCGATCTTAAAAAAACAAAAATAATCGATTTTTAAAAACAAACTAAGTGATCTTTATGAACAAACTAACAGATCTATAAGAACAAATAAAGCGATCATTAACAAAAATCTGAACGATCTTTAATAACAAACTAAGCGTTTTTTAAGAACAAACTAAACGATCTTTAACAACAAGATGTTACATTAGATGTTTATTAATTAATATTCACGATTATCTCATTTTTTCTAAAAACAATGTAAATATTTATACTTTCCCCCATCATTTTCAATGTATTCAGAATGTATGCGGGAACGAATTTCAAAATATCTAAATGTTTCATTTTCGGTTTCGGCTTCGGTTTCGGCTGAAAGTCATTTTAAAGTTTCGGCCTATTTTCGGCTTCGTCCGAAATCAGAAAATCCCTTTCGGTCGGTCTCTAAGTAATGATTTAATTTCGTATAGAGCACTGCTTGTCGCGTGCATATTCTGAATCGCTGGGAGCACTTGTGCGATTCAATTAAACAATATAAAGAACATGATGAGAACGTACTGTCTAGAACAAGAGTAAGACTGTGTTGAAGAAATCAACTTGCTACTGTTCACTGCAAAAGAAGCAGTTCAAGAATCAATAGGATTCAGCCACTTCAAACTTGTGTTTGGCCATAAGGTTCATGGATTCCTTAAACTTTTATAAGATATGTGGATGTCATCGACACCCACTGAAGGACTTTAAAACTGATATGAAAGAAATTGATAAAAGTTTTGATAATTGGTACACGGAACAAAGGGATGAGATAAAAAAAAAAACACTCTCTCTGAAGATGTTCCTTACACATGTTTTCTCTTTGACAATAAAAAAAAACATGAAGACAAACTTGAAAAATAAAGATGTAAACTATATGAACAAATTCTAACATTAGAAAAACTAGAAAACGTCGATTTAGTACTAAAGAAATATTTCCTAGGCAAATGTATATTCGTAAAGATAGCATTAAAAAGCTATACAAATATCTGGATAACGAAACAAGAAAAAATTTCTGAGAAAAGAAATGAAAAAACTTGAAATAACATGACCGCATTACATGTAAAAGATAAGTTAAACAATGATTGCATAAATCTGAGGAGAGAAATAAAAAAAAAAACAATTGGAACATGGAAAGAAAACAATTAAATTGATGGTTCAATACAATTGGGTACTTAAAAAGATAAATCAAAACAGTATGATACGAAATAAGATAAATATAAACAATAGGATACTAAAGAAGATTATTCAAAACAGCATAATCCTAAAGAAGATAAATCCACACAATATGATACTAAAGAAGATAAATAAAAACTTTATTTTTCTAAAGTAAATAAATCAACACATATGACACTAAACAAGATAAAGCTGTACAATTTGATACTAAAGAAGATAAATCGACACAATGGTTATAGAAAAGATGAATCAAAACAATTTAATACTAAACAAAATATTTAAAAAGAAATATGATGCTAAAGAAGAAAAATCAAAACAATATGAGACTAAATAAATATATTTCTATCGATAGAAATATAGAGATAGATAGATAGATAGATAGATAGATAGATAGATAGATAGATAGATAGATAGATAGATAGATAGATAGATAGATAGATAGATAGATAGATAGATAGACAGACAGACAGACAGACAGACAGACAGATAGATAGATCGATAGATAGATCGATAGATAGATCGATAGGTAGATCGATAGATAGATCGATAGATCGATAGATAGATCGATAGATCGATAGATAGATAGATAGATAGATAGATAGATAGATAGATAGATAGATAGATAGATAGATAGATAGATAGATAGATAGATAGATAGATAGATAGATAGATAGATAGATAGATAGATAGATAGATAGATAGATAGATAGATAGATAGATACATAGATACATAGATACATAGATACATAGATAGATAGATACATAGATAGATACATAGATAGATAGATACATAGATAGATAGATACATAGATACATAGATACATAGATACATAGATACATAGATACATAGATAGATACATAGATAGAAAGGAGGGAGAAATAGAGATAGGTAATAGGGAAAAAATAATTTGAGTGACCTAGAAACAGAGATAGAGAGAAACAAAATTAAAAACAATAGTAGAGATTAAGAGATATAGAAATGGTGGTTGAAGATAGAAAGAAAAATACAGTGAGATAGCAGTTAACACGTGTAACTTTTGTTGATGTGAAAGTTCAAGCATTTGAGCTGCCAGTTGTATGCGTCGTGGAGATAATCTAATCATTTGCTTTTCGCGGCGACAGTGGAGCATTTCAAGAGGTAAGGTTTTAATAATTTCTTAGGCTATTAATGTCCTGATTTGATCTATGCAATAACATTGTGAACGATTAGTTAACTTTGTCATTAGTCGATCGATTTGATGAGGTGTGTTAACGATCTCTTAAATAAAAAATTATTTATAGCGAGTAGGGCATGCGTTTTTCTAACAGTGAGCCAAGACATTGAGACCCACTGGGGGGGGGGGGTCTTCCTTCGAAAGACATTGACACCCACTGGGGGTTATCCTCCCAAAGACATTGAGACCCACTGGGGGGGGGGTCACACGCCCATTTAACATCAATCATTAAATAGTCCACACATACAAATCATTTGATAGCATGACTGATTATTTGAAGTTGCAATAAGGTGTCCCTAGAACTTGATCATGCCTGGAGGCTTGAACTTAATTTGCCTTTTTCAAATGTTATAGTACTGTAGAGAGTTGCATCTTTATTAATTATTGTAAGTAATATTCATAATTTGATGACATATTTATACAATAGTATGGTCTAGGCGTGGTGTGTCATTGTCAACAAAAATCAGTTTGACAAGAATAGTAACAATTGTATTAACATTTTATTTTATAATTTTTGGACTTTCGAAACAACATATTCTTAGGTAGTAACATAAATAATAGCAGACAAACAGTGCCAGTTGCAATGAGTGAACTTCACATCTAAGATAAGAACGGTTTCTTTTGTCAATTCAAATAAATGGACTCTTTTCTTCATAACATTGTATATATTTATTTTCATCCCATAAATAAATAATTATAATTGAAGATACAGTCATTCAAATATAGCCCTTTACAAGAATCACAATTATCGCTATTTTGCGCGCCCACTGAGTACAAAATTTCAGCCTTTTTTAATGACATAGACCATTATTATACTGATTCTGAAAAGTTAAATAAGTTCATGTGTATACTTCCGTACATTTCTTTTATTCAAAGATGGCGACCAGCGACCCACAGTCGTACAATATACTCCTGGTGGGTAAAACAGGAAGTGGTAAGAGTTCCACGGGAAACTCCATCCTTGAGAAAAATGTGTTTCAATTAAGAAAACCCCATGACTCGTCTGATGGAGACGTCATCGCATGTCATTCTTCTGTTGTGGATGGCAGATATGTGTCAGTTGTCGATGGAACTGGCATAGGCGACACATATGTGGATTTTAATGAAGGTGTGAAGTCTTTATTACAATCAGTTGAAACGACAATTATTAGACAAGATATGTCTTGCTTTAACGCCATCATTGTTGTTCATTCCATTTACGAAAGGTCAGAAATAAAATTGAAAAAATCTGTTTTTGAAATCAAATCAATTTTTGGACACTATGTTCTTAAACACTGGGGAATTATAGTAGTGACCTTTGGTGATCTATTTGACCTCAATAACCTCGATGAGAATATCCATTCATTTAAAGATTGGTGTCAACAACAAACTGGGTATTTCCAGATTTTACTTGAGGAATGTAACAACAGATGTGTCCTGTTTGACAACAAAACAGCGGACAAAAACAAACAAAAGGAACAAAGGAACAAACTCATGTCAGTAGTGGACAGCATTATTCACAAGCAATACACGATAGATGACTTTGACAGCCCAACTTTTAAGCTTTCTAGACAACAGCTTATTCTTATGGAAGAAGTCAATCGTAAATTAGAAGAGCTTGATGTTACCATGAACAGCCGGCATGACGTCAGTAAACAGGAACTTGAACTCTTGATGTCACAACTCTTGGAGCATATACAATTTTTGACTAGACAAGGGCAAGAACCCGAGTTTACCAAACAGCTTCTTAACGAAGTTAAAGAAACTGTAAACAAGTTGCAATTAAAAATTGGAAAAGTTTTTCAGGCATTCAAGCCAACCGTTTGGGAACAATGGAAATATCTGCGTCCTATTCAGTTCAAAGTTGAAGAGCCTACAACTTCCAAGACACAAAAGCCCCTCTCACCCACTGTGGCTGAACTACCTGCCAGAAAAGTAACAACTTCCTGTCCAGAGATTCAAGATGATAAGAAATCGATCGCGACAGATGCAAGCGGAAGACAAGAATTAGACATTGAAAATGGTAGGTCTAAGATATGTAGTTACTCACCATTATTTATATTTGTATTTTTTAATAATCGTTAATATTGAAAAATTAAATATATTGATGGAATAAATGCCATTGCTGTCCTAATACATTCACTATTAATGTTCTTTAAAGAATAATAATATATTTCATTGTTAAAATAGGGCTTCATTTTTTCCACAATCAAAAGTGTGGATATCTGAACACTTTTAAATTCATTTTAGAATGTCCAGATCATAGAGTGATTAATTAAAGTCTATCAGAGATTGTGATGTTTTTGAACACAATTAGAAATTTAAATTTTGTAATGATAACCTTATAAGATATACTTGTGGAAAAGCATAAACTATTTGTTTGTAGCTATAACTCGATACGAAAATTCGTAAATGAATTGTTTTCATCAGCACATTTGTTGACAAAGAGAATCAGGAAATGTCTTTGAAATAATCAAGAAATAAAAAATAGATCAAACAAATTCAATCACGAAAAATTATTTTTTTAAATAGTTCATTTTAGGTTCAAATGAACAGTTAAACAACTAATTTATGTGTTTAACATTTCACATTAAAGTTCAACTTGAAATGTTCATTTATTTTACCCTTCTTGGTACAACACTAACAGTATCCACTGCCATCTTTAGCAATAAAGTAGGTGCCTGTCATACAAGACAAAATATGGGGATTTTCTGTGAAGATTTCAGGAAACCCGTTTGGTGGAGTGCGTCAATAACGTATAACAATATTTGACAAAGAATTATAGGCCCCGTTCGATGAAGTTGTTCAATACTGTATAACAATGTTTGACAAAGACATACATGCCCCATTTGATGAAGTGGATCAGTAATATATAACAAGATTTAACAAAGACATAGAGGCTGGTTTGAAACCAATCTGCGTTTTTACAAATTTGAAATATACTTACCAAGAGAAAATGCTGATTAAACTAAATTATACATTTATGAATACACATTGGCGTAAGGACCAGATAAAAAACAGGGGTCTTTTTTTGGAATATAGACTCTGAGAACTAAACAAACATTGAGGGCGATCACTGTGGTTACAAAAAATAGATCGATAAAAATAATAATAATAATAATAAAGTTTATTTTTTAAAAAACACGCTTCATCCCCAAAGGCTCGAAGCGGGGTACAAAGTAAAAAAAAAAATAATAATAATAATTTACCACATTTAAAACAAATGCAACACTACAAAACTAATTACAAGCATACCAAGTCAAAGTCATTCTATCCATTTCAACCCTAAGCAACACAGCCAATATGCATTAACTGTAAAATATGGTAGACAATGATCCCAGAAGGTGTTTGCGAAATAGATCTGTCTTTAAATCGGTTTTAAAGGACTCCAGTGTCTGGTTGTTTCTGAGAGAGACAGGAAGGAAGTTCCAAATTGTTGGGCCAGCAAATGCGAAAAAGCGCTTCCCGTAAATCTCAAGGCTGGAAGATTCACCATGACAGCATTGCAATAGTCCATGCGTGATGGCATAAATGCATGCATCAGCCTCTTTGTTGCATCAATTGTTAAGAAGGGCCTGATGTGACTAATCCTGCGCAGCTCTAGAAAAATCGCCTTGCATAGCATGTTAATGTGACTTTCCAAAGTTAGTCTTCTATCTAGGTAGACACCCAGGTACCGCACTGTTTGAGCTAACTCAGTACGCACACCTGAGAGAGTAATTGATGTCATGTTATTTGCAGACTTTTGCTTCTGAGCGGTCGCCATGGGGATCAGCTCAGTCTTATCATCATTCAATTTGAGCTTGTTTATGGTCATCAAGTGCTTAACTGACTCCACTGTCTTCTTTTGCTTGTTTTTTTTGTTTTTTTTGTGTTTTTTTTCTACAAAATTGAATTTTGTAATTAGCAGCATTGAAAAAAATAACAAATATTTATAGGTGAATAAAAATAACGTTTCTTAAATCAGTCATTAAGAAAAAACTATATAACTGACAAAATATAATTTTTAATATTTAATTTTAATTATTTTCATTTTTACAGAAACCCTAAAGGAAATGTGTACATTACTTTTGGTGGGCCGGTCGAGGAATGGAAGAAGTTCGGTCATTAATTCAATACTGGGACAAAAAATGCTGTTCAAAACAAGAGTGCCTTCAGAAGTGACAAGGTTAACAAATGAAATACACAATAATGATGAGTATGTTGTTGTGGACGGCTTGGGTATTGGAGATAAAGGTGCTGAAATGCCAGGTGATATGTCCTCCGTCGTACTCGCAGCATGTGAAGTATTACTAATCAAAAATAATAGTCAAGAGGGATTAATTACAAGAAAATTCGATAACCGACCAACTCTTTTACACAGGTGTGGCTTCGATGCCCTGATATTTGTGCTGAAATATAGCTTCAGGTTTACCAAACAAGAGAAGGACGCCGTGCAAATGGTCAAGTCTATCTTTGGAGAAAATGTGTTCAGAGATTGGGGGATTTTAGTTTTCTCTTATGGGGACTGTTATGAATATGATTATCAAGAAAGTAACAAGACATTTAAAGATGTGTGCATGAAAAAAAGAGGCGATATAAAAGCACTATTTGAAGAAGTAAGTTACAGGTGTGTCCTCTTTAACAATAAAACAAAAGATAGAGATAAATTAGAACAACAACGCAGGGAATTATCAAACAACATTCAAGAACTCAAGAAGAAAACAAACAAAGAAGTGGGACAGAATAAATATTGCATCGAAGATTTGATTGCTGTTCGTAAAAAACATTTTCAAGACACATTTGACCGCCTTTCTGTAGAAACAGAAAAACTGTTTGCTGAGACAAATACTAACGACACAAAACAGATTTGGATAACATTAAAAGGTAAATGGTTAAATCTAAGGACAAAAGTCAAAGAAGAACTGGAAATATTTTCTTGGGAAGCGAAATCACAAACATCGCCAGAGACAAACCACAAATCAAAAACAACCCCAGACCAGCAAACCAAACGTAAACTTTTTAAGATGCCAAAACCTTTCGGTGAATTAAGAAAGATATTGACTACAAACAGAAACCAAACAACAAAAGATACAACTGTCAACAGTGGTAAGACACAAAATGAATTTGACAGTTGTGGTGAGACACAAGGTGAAACTGACAACTCTGTTAAGACACAAGTTAAAGGCAATAATAATGGTAGGACACAAGGGGAAGCTGGTAATAGTGGTAGAACAGAAGTTGATTCTGATTGTAGTAGTGGGACACAAACTAAAGCTGACCATTTTGGTAGGACACAAGAAGAAACTCACAATATTGGAGGGACACATGGTGAAAATGACAAAAGCGGTAGGACACAATGCGAAGCTGGCAATAGTGGTGGGACAAATTGGGAATATAGCAAGAGTGTTACGGCACATATGAAAGCCGATAATAGTGGTACAACACAATTTGAAACTGGTAATTATTGCACGACACAATGGGAAGCTGGTAATAGTGGTACGACACAATTGGAATATAGCAATAGTTGTATGACACAAGGGAAAGCTGGCAATAGTGGTACGACACAAGGATATGCTGGTAATAGAGGTACCATGCAATTGGAAGCTGACTTACCCACAGATGTAAAAGTAAAAATGTACAAATATCAATTGATGATTTCAAGAGGTCATCCTCAATTTTATTTTCACCCTGAAAACATGTTAATGGAGTATACTCAATTTTTGAAGAAGCATCTTAGGGACATTGACAAAAATATTAAAATAATAAAAACAGATCAGAACGGTTGCTTGTTAAGCTAAGAAATATATCAATATCAAAATTGACCTACCGAAATTGTTCCTTGCACCACGAGTATGTATCCATGTGACTTATCATACAAATAAACTATATTTTTTTGGCGTCTAAACTAATTACGCACCATCAGAAAGTTAAGAAATATATCAATATCAAAATTGACCTACCGAAATTGTTCCTTGCACCACGAGTATGTATCCATGTGACTTATCATACAAATAAACTATATTTTTTTGGCGTCTAAACTAATTAAGCACCATCAGAAAGTTAAGAAATATATCAATATCAAAATTGACCTACCGAAATTGTTCCTTGCACCACGAGTATGTATCCATGTGACTTATCATACAAATAAACTATATTTTTTTGGCGTCTAAACTAATTAAGCACCATCAGAAAGTTAAGAAATATATCAATATCAAAATTGACCTACCGAAATTGTTCCTTGCACCACGAGTATGTATCCATGTGACTTATCATACAAATAAACTATATTTTTTTGGCGTCTAAACTAATTAAGCACCATCAGAAAGTTAAGAAATATATCAATATCAAAATTGACATACCGAAATTGTTCCTTGCACCACGAGTATGTATCCATGTGACTTATCATACAAATAAACTATATTTTTTTGGCGTCTAAACTAATTAAGCACCATCAGAAAGTTAAGAAATATATCAATATCAAAATTGACATACCGAAATTGTTCCTTGCACCACGAGTATGTATCCATGTGACTTATCATACAAATAAACTATATTTTTTTGGCGTCTAAACTAATTAAGCACCATCAGAAAGTTAGAGCAGGATAGAGAGTTGTTGTTGAGCCAAAGGTTTACATATTATTGTTTTGACTAGGCAAGATACCAGACGGCTGCTCCATGAGTAATAACTTTATTAACCCAAATTCGTAACATTTATTACAAGGAAACTTAACATTCTTTGAATACAGTTGCATGTCACGTGACGTCAAATGCAATTTATATGTGAGGAAATAATGTGTGTGTGAGTTCTTACAATCAGGGAAGTTACTTCATTTAAAAGAGAATGATGACATGTAAAAAAAATGGTATTGCACTATTTGTTTTCATTAATTTATGTTAAAAAAATGAGCCTAAAATTCACAGGATTGGACGTAGTTACAAAGTGAGCTAAATTTACGAGACATGTGTAAAGGCCGGGGTGCTTTTTCTGCCCCATGAAATGTATCTGGGATGATAAAATCGTCTTATAATGTAAGTATAATCAATTTTTACCATATTATATGTGTATATTTTTTTATATATCGCATTGAATATCATTGGACTATTTAATTTTTTTTTCATCTAAAGAAGGATAAACCTCTCGGTGTGCCGCCAATCAAGCAACAGCCGGTATGGTACTTATCTGTTGGAATAAAAAGTGAATTAATTTTTACAATCTCCCCTGTTGTTTTATTATCTTGTCATTTTTTTTTTGTTACAACCATTTCGGCTGAATATACTAAAATACCCTTAAGTTCGGACAGGCAAGACCGAACTGCTCCCTCAAGACCACTGGGTAGTCCTTTATAAAACATTTAACTTCCAGTTAGTCTTTGAGGCGGTCATAATCATTGGCAGTACTTCATGACATACTGAATGCAAAACAAATCTCATTTTTAAACCAAGAGAAGGCGTTATGATTATTTAGGTTCTAGATGCGAGTCGATCTTTTCTTGATGATCTCTTTCCTTCAAGGCTGGCCACGTAAACCAGACTCAGGGATATCTACCGTTGACCTGGAGATAGTTACCGTTTTGGCTGTGAACTACAAGTGTGGTGGCCACGTCCAACAGCCGTTTGGATACAATTTAACAATTTAAAATACAAAAGCTTAATGCACATTTGAATTTATGAAGAATAAAACGCATGTTACGAGTTAAGCATTTATATCCTGGAAATTAGACAGAAGCTCCACCATAGTCTAACGATGGGATACTGAATATAAGTTTAAATATGAATATTCTGGTGGCATATTCTTGGTCATGTAAGAACTCTTCCGTGTTCAAATATTCAAATGTGTGCAATACAAATTAACTCAACGAATACACCTTACAATAAATTTAAGTTAGTAAAATGAACATGAAAATAAACGCCTTGAGAAGACACATATTTACGACAGTGAAAATATGATACATTAGCAACCTTTATTTTAGTTAACAGACCCTTAGCTCAACTCTTTCCGAAATTCCATAATATTTTATTGCTACATTTCTTCTTTAAGAAATTACTATTTACATCATAACTGCATTGTTTTACTTGCGAATTATGTTTTTAAATCCTTAATATTTCAAATAACAATTTATGTACTATACCACCCAACATCCATTTTACTACGTTCATCAGAATTTACTAGGTATTAGTTATGGTTATTGAATATGCTTAAACTTTTCAGACTTTTTTTTATTATGGCTGTGTGGATCTGTGTAATGTCCACCATTAACCTAACACAAACTTATTTTAAAACTATTATCACTGGTATGCATATGAATTGATTTTAATGTTTACATTAAAATATAAGTAGTAGACATTTCATTTTTTTTGTAATTTATAAATAGAGTTCATTTCATCCTCATTTATAACATGATCACGCCTCCGTGTGTTTGGTTCAATCCTTTGTTTTAAACAAGAATTTCCAGCAACTTAACTATTGCTAACTAATAAAAGGAAAATACCAATGTATATTACTAAATTGCAGCTTACAAGTTATAAAGTTCTAATTCAAAAGCTGGATACACCAGCACAGCCATCCAGCAGATCAGAGAGTTCCAGCGTCCATTCTGTATAATCTTCACATCTTGAGTCATCTTTCACATGTCCCACTGGACACCCGCGACGATGTATGGTTCAGGTAAAGACGACTACATGTCTCTTATACTCAATGGTGTCACGATCCGCAGAGGACTTGATTTCTTTCATTAAATTCCTTTACACATTCAAACATTGTAATCACACTGAACTGAGCACAAGTACTTTTCCAGTAGAAATGTTAACTATAGTCCAGAAACATATGTACCCGGCTGTATAATGAAATTAACAAGTGTATTACTAAGCTCACAATACGGCTTTCTTTCTGTTATATTTTTTTTTTGGGGGGGGGGTGGTTGGGGTCTTTAATTGAATGATTTTTTTAATGCATTTATTAATTCAGTAGCTATCCCCAAAAAATAATGTAAAAAAAAAATGTTATATTACAATATTTTAAAAATAGTTATTTTTATTGTTTTGTTTTTGCATATCACACGCGGATCATGATATTTCCGTTTTGACAAACCCTGAATGGAAAGATGATAATTAAGAAAATATCATCATCACATACTTAAGCCCCTAAAATATCCCAGGAACCATTCAGTCGTTGGGGTGCTGGGCGCACACGATGGCTCTAAGTTTAAGTGGCACCTATATTTTTGAACTAGGATATCTTCCGTTGCTCTCCAATTAAATGTAGAATGCTGCAAAACTAAATTCAGATATGTGAAAAAATGCATTCTTGTATTTTGAATTTATCAAAAATTTTCTGGGGACTATAATGATTCAAAGTGTCAGAATAATCTAGGGCAAAATCGTACCCTCAAGGGTGACATAACTAGAGTAATATAGTTTAAGTCCCGCTGGTGCGAAATTTAAGATGTCATACTAATAGTATGGCTAATTGTGTCATTTCCCACCCGAACGTTTGAAATGACACCTCAAAATTGTCTGAAAGAAACAACAAATTCAAGTGTGTGCCAAAATAATGCACCCCTGCATTTTGTGTTTGTACGGATTTCGTTAGTACCCTTATTTATGCACCCCAAAATCCTTCCATCGATCAAGATTAATCGGCGCCATCGCCTTCGATAGATACACTGCCTTATGGCGTAGCTACTATTAAGGCTGCCATGAGCGGCCAAATATTTTT